GAAAAATAACCCACAGGGGTGCTGGGGATATAGCTCAGTGACACAGCACCTGCCTGGCAAGCGCAAGGTCTTGAATTCACTCCCAGTATTGGTGGGGGGTTACGGACCCATAGGGTAAACCAACAAAGCAAAGCAATAGGGCACTAGTCTTCATGCCCTATGGACCATGCCCATGAGTGGGACAATTCACAATATCAAGATTACAAATATTATTTAACCTGGTGACCCTAGATCTAGAATTTATCATACAGATATACACAATACTAAATTATTAATATGGGTTATTCATTGTTGAATGAGGTTATTCATTGCTCCATTGTTAATACAAAAAATGGCTAAAACTGAGAACTGATTAAATAAATTTGGTACAAACAATAGAACTTTAGGGTGCTATAAAAAAATGCTGAGCGTGGTGGTACAAACCTATAATCCCCAAACATAAGAGCATGAGACAGAAGAATTATAAATTTGTGGCCATCCTGGGCTATATGGTGAGACCCTGTCTCAAAACAAAACAAAACAAAACAAAAACAAAAGTAGGGAAAAGGAAAAGAGAATGTTTTCAATGTACTGATTTAGAAGTCTTGTCTTAGGGTTCACCAGAGAAAGAGAAGCAGAGGAAAGATTGAATTGCCTCACAGTTTTGGAGGCTGCCAAGTCCCAAGATCTGCACAGTTTGATAGAGACCTGGGAAAGCCAATGGTTCGGCTCCAGTCAAATCCAAAAGCCTGAACACTAGGATAATTGATGGTATAATTCTAGTCCCAAAACGGATAGGCTTGAGATCCAGCAAGTGCCAATGTTTCAGGTTGAGTTCAAAGTCAGGAAAAAAGCTAATGTTCCAGTTCAGAAATTGGAATTTTCCCTTATTTGGGGGAGGGCCAGCATCTGATTGGATGAGGCCCACCCATATGAGGGAGGGCAATCTGCTTTACTCATCTGTGATTTAAATGTTAATTTCATTCCAACACTCATGGAAACACCTAGAATAATGCTTGATCAAATAACTGGGCACCCTGTAGCCCAATCAAGTTGACACATAAAATTAATCATGCCACATCTACAAGAAATTTTCCTGGACTGGGGATTTAGCTCAGTGGTGCTGCCAACTGCCTCACAAGAGCAAGGTCCTGAGTTTGATCCCTGGTACAAAAAAAAAAGTGGGAGACAGAGAGAGATTTTATTGAGGAGCAAATAAAAATGCAGAACAGAGTATGTGGTATGCTGCCTTTTATGTAAAAAGGCAGGAAATGGTAAGATAACAGTAAGTGTGCCTGTTTGCTTATATTTGTTCTTACTTAAAAAAAAAAAAACCTGCCACATTTTTTGGGGGGGCGGGGGGTAGTGTTAGGAGATTGGACATAAGGCCTTGCACGTGCTAGGCAAGCAGTTACCACTGATGTATATTCACAGCCTCTGCTGCTTTATTTACATAAAGGCCCGCTGGAATGATATACAAAAACTAAAAAGAAAGGTTACCTATTAGAGATGTGCAGAGAACAAGAAAACATTCTACTTTTTGTACCGAATGGGAAAGGGGATGTTACCAGAACCCCTGCAGTGAGTCCAAATCCTCCTATGAGCCACTACAACACAAAGCAAATTAAAGAATAAAGACAGAAAACGAGACCTAGAGAAGAAGCTGAGCTTTGTGCCTGATCAGTGCTGCTCTGGGCAGCAAAGACAAAGGCACCTGAGCTTGCCGTTATTTATTGGGTTCATAGGGAGTATCAGGTGACCTAGAGGGCAGCAGCAATCATTAATTGACAAGGACCTTTTTTCTTTTTTCTTTTTTGGGTTTTTGGCTTTTTTTTTTTTAATTTATTGGTACATTCTCGGTAGACAGTACAGTTACATTCATTACTGGGATGTTGTACCTTTACATGCCAGGTCTTGGTCTTTTTAGCTTTTTGAGACAGGTTCTCACTCACTATGTAGTTGAGACAGACTTGGAACTCACTGTGTAGGCCAGGCTGGTCTCAAACTCACAGCGATCCTTCTGCCTCAGCCTCCCAAGTGCTGGGATTACAGGTGTGCACCACACCCGGTGACAAGGATTGTCACACCCAGTCACAAGGATTTTATAATCGAGAAAGTATTAGCTGTCTCTGAAGTGTCCATAATCCTACAACCATGAGAATCTTATGCTGATGAGTATCATAGATTGATTGGGAGAGTGAAATAAGTAAAAGTGTTCCTACAACAGTAGTGGGATGAGTTAAGCTGATAAGGAATTTGTCCCTCCCCAGGTGAAACCTTTCTACTTGGTTCTCAAAGACCCAGGATGTCTTCTGCTGATGCAATCTTGCCCTGAGCATGGCAGCATCACCGAACTATTGAGGCCTCAGACAGCCCTAATCATAATTTAATTGTGAAATGATTTTTTTTCCCAAAACTATGTAGAATGGCTCCTGAAAATTTGTTACATGTGATTTTTAAAATCTTGTATAGCTGAACATGCTTATGTACACCTGTCGTCTTAGCACTCGGAGAGGCCAGGGACTGAGGATTACAGGTTCAAGTTCCAATGGGGCAACTTACTGAGACCCTGTCTCAAAATAAAAAAGAAAAGAAAAGGGCTAGGATTGTAATTTGGTGGTAAAGTGCCCATGGGTTGCTCTACCAGTACTGGAAAAAAATAAGTATATGTTTAATCTGTTCAAATAATAAATTAAATAACATTGAGGCCATACTCTTAAGTGAAATAAATAAGACACATGTGCAAATACCAAATAGTTTCTCTGGTGTGAAAAACTAAAAGTGTAAATTGTATAACTATGCAAATTGTATAACATAATGCGAAATAGGAAGAAAAGGGCTAAAGGTGTAGGGGAAGTGGGATGAGTAGGACAAAGGAAATAAGGGACAAGAAAAAATATGAGAAAAGGAAAAAATGAATGGTTTCTTACATGAGAAACCCAAAATATAAATAAAGAGCAAAATAAAGGATAATAGGAAGTAGCGAGAAGCAGATCAAGAGATAGAAAAAATGGAAGAGAGAGGAGGGTAAGGGAATGAAAAAAGGAATTAAGATGTTAACCTAAAACCAGGTTGAGCAAGTGATGGGACTCAGAACACAGTACTTTTTATTTTCATTTATTATTGATATTGTTTTTACAGTGCTGGGTATTGAATTTAGATACTGTATGCTAGACAAGTGCTCTACTACTGAGCTACATGCCCAGTCCTGAATATTTTTAATATTAAATTGGGATGAATATGATCTTCAATTCACGACACTCCCTACTTGTCCAGAAACAACTCACATATGAAAATCCATAAACCAACCTACTTCAAGAGCTAAACAATTATATATCACCTGCACCAACTCAGGCGCTCCTTGCATCTCTCCCCCTTGCTTCCTCTCAGAAGGAAGCGGTATCTTTGATTTTATCCTTTCATTACAAGGGCCGGGGATTTAGCTCAGTGGTTCTGCCTCCTGCCTCACAAGCACAAGGACCTGAGTTTGATCCCTGGTACCAAAAACAAACAAACAAAACCAATTATCCTTTCATTACAAGTAGGAAAAATGACATCCTGAAACTCAAACCCACATGTACCCCCTTGAAAGTGGGCTGACCTGGGGCTTGCTTCTCGTAAACAGAATTCAGCAAACATGATGGGGTGTTAATCCCATGACTGCATCTTCCATCTTGCTAGCCTCTCCCCCTTTTTTTTCTTTCTTTTTTTAAACTGGGGATTGAACCCCGGGTCTTCACACTGAACTACATTCCTAATCCTTTTTAATTTTCTTTTTTATTTTGAGACAGGGCCTCACTAAGTCACTAGGTTGCCCAGGCTGGGCTCAAACTTGCAATCTTTCTGCCTCAGTCTCCCAGAGTGCTGGGATTACAAGTCTATACCACCATATGCAGTTTTTACTCTTTCCCTCACTGGCTTTGATGAATTAAGCTACTATGTTAGAGGTGGCCATAGAGCAAGGAAATGAGGGCAGCCACCAGCCAACAACCAGCATAGCCCTGAAGCCCAAGAGCCCACCAGAAACTGGATTCTGTCATCAACCACATGCACATGACTCCTTCCCTAGCTGACCCTACAGATGGGACCACAGTTCTGGCTGACACTTCAGGGCAGCTTTGGACAAAACCCTGAAGCAGAGGGTCCAGTGAAGCCAGCCTAGATTCCTGACCCACAGTAAAATGTGAGACAATAAGCACGTGTTAACCTTCTAAATTGATGCTTATTTGTTATATAGTATTAGGTAACTAAGACGAGTCCTTTTCAGATCTTTTGCTATTATAAAAGGTGTTGTTATGACCACTGCTATGAACTGTTTCCAAGAACAGAGGACACAGAGATTAATTTTTCACTGGTATACATCTAAGGAGGGAATTACCGGACCTTGGGACTTACAAATGTTCAACATTACTGGCAGCAAATTGTCAGAATGAAGGTCATACACATTGTGGCCATTGTGTGTGTCCTACTCTATGTTGGGAGGAAAGCTTGGCCTCAGCCCATAGAACAGTGTGTGGGCAGGGTTGGGAGTCACATAGGACAAGTTTAAAGGCTCAGTCCCCGGGCAGGGTTGAAACAAGTGTGTGGCACAGTTGGAGAGAATCTGAAGCTTTAGACAAGGTTGAAGGACACTGTGAAAGCGGCTTTGGGGCCAGTCTAAACCAGGGTTAGAAGTCCAATTCACAAAACCAGAGCCCTGGAGACACCATCAGTCTGTCAAGCAGCAAACACACATACCTACTACCCACAGATGAGACCCACTGCAAGCCAACCAGGCTCTTTCAGCCAAGCGGGAAAGGGGTAGATGAGAAAGAGAGCGGGATAGAAGGGTTCCCCTTCTATTCTGGATCCAGGCAAAAAGAGAAGGCAGGCACAGGAAAGAAAGCACACTGCCACCTTTAATGGAGGCCACCCTGTCCCACATCCCCCAGACACTCCCAACAGTACCCCACGTACCCCACAGGGTAGGGAGGGTGGCTACTGTGGGATATTCCTAGCTGCTGCTATTCTTCACCCATTCCTTTCCAGCTGCTGCAGTCTCCATCCCTGAGAAGAGATGGCCCCAGGCGAGCCCCTTGGCTTCAGTGGGCAGCTTCCCGTGGTGCTAAGGGCAGAAAGAGCTAGCCTGGATGGAGACACTGTTGTCCCCAGAGCTGGGTGGGGACTCTGATCTAGGAATGTGGACAGAGCCAAGGAACCAAGGCCCAAGGAACTAAAAGGTGGGGCTCAGGGAAAGCTTCGGTTCTTCCAGCCTGGACGTACTGTACTGAGGTGGCTTAGGCCCCCACCCCACCCCCCACCTCCACAGGCTAACTCCCATCCCCTGGGCGGGAGGTGGTGGAACGGAGGAGGCCTGAATGAACATTGCCTCTGCCCTCCCAGTGGTGTCTGCAGGTAGGTAGCTGTGTGTCCTGGCATCTGGGCTCGGATAGGTACTGGACATCCTTACTCAGTCCGCCGCTCACCGGGGCTTGCGCTCAGCCTGTTGGAGCCTCCTGGACAGGTCCTCAATGCGCACATTCTTGAGCTGAAGCAGATGCTCCAGGCGCCTCACCTTCATCTGCAGGACCTGGGCAGTGCAGTACAGATGTCACATTCTGTGGCCCACTGTGTGCCTCTGCCTCTGCAGCCTCTAGGCGCCTGAGCCTCTCCAGTGCACCCTCACCTGCACGGTCTCCTGTGAGGCTAGCAGCTCCTGCTCTTTTTCAGCAATCTGGAGCACGAAGCTTGGGTTGCTCTGCTGGGCCTGGTTATACCCAGGAGGCCAGGCTGCCAGCTGCTGGCCCCCTCTGTGGTGCAAAGCAGTTTAGCGTAGGGCTGGACCTCAGCCCCCAACCCCACGCTTCCAGTGCCCTCTGCCAGGCCTTCCTTCTTCTGCTTCTCCCCTGTACCTCCCCACTACCTTCCCACCCACCCCAGCTTGCCATGGGGGATTACCAAACCTGGCAAGATCAGGAACTCCCAGCTTCTTTACCTGATCTGCCCTCCTCCATGCGGGTCCAGGGCACCTTCCCCTTGGGTCTTTTGGGACAAACCTGAGACAAGGCAAGTAGAGGAGTGACCTTACTGGAATTCCATTCTCCAGCACAGAAGGACGGGAAGAAAGCTTATCCTGGGAGGGAGACAGGAAATGCTCACCTACATCCATGTAGCCACTGCTATCCTGAGGAGCCAGCTCCTGAAAGAACCCCCATGGTGCACTGTGAGCCTCGGCTCACTTATCCCCAAGGAGCCCCATGTCCCTTCTGCAGTCCCCAGGGCAGGCTCTCTTGGCCAGGCACCCCTGCTTCACACTCATTGCCAAGGCCAGGCTGATGCCTGGAGCATGATGCCTGGGAATCCCTCCTGGGCAAGGGAGTGGCTGGAACCCAGTGGCACCTGTAAGGAGCCAGCACCCTGCTTCCTGCGCTTCTGCCGCTCCTCCAAGCGCTGCCTCAGTGGGATGAGCACCAACTCCACCACGCCTGGGACACACTGTGCAATCTTGCGCATCACGTCGTCTGGTACCGAGATGTTCAGTTTGTTCAGCACTTTCCTATACAGTAGACAAAGGGGTGGCAGACTGGGTCCAATGGGGAGTAAAGTGAGGGCAAGGGCCAAAAAGGAAAGGGACATGATCCTGAGTGCACTGCCCTTGAGGAGAGGAAAGGTAGGCATCTAAACCCTCCTGCTGGGATGTCCCAAGTTTCCTTGTCGCCTTCCCCAATAGAAGAGGTCTTTGCTTTTGTTACCAAATGGATTCTGTCTGTAATGGCCTTTCCACCCTGCCACCAACACTGTCCCAGCTTGGACAGTGAAGACCATAGGAAGTGAAGTGGCTGGGGCAGCCTTTCCTGGGAACCCGGCTCCCCCTCCTGGGTATTCTGCTACCTGTTCAGGTGACTCCAGTTGCTGAGCTTCTGCTGGAGGGAGTTGGCAGGGACATAATTGTGCATTTCCACCATCTTTGGGAAGTAAAACTTGATAATCTCTGCAACCAGGACTGAGGGAGTAGAGGGTTAGGGGTGAGGATGGAAGAAGAGACAGGTGGGAGATGCAGCACCGTGATAGAGCCCAACAGAGAGGTAAAGATATAGCAGGGGGAAGGATGATTGAACGAGACAGAGAACATGAGATCAGTGATCGAACTAAGAGCTGGCATAACCACAAGGAGGTACTTCCCTTCCCCATTAATTCAAGGAATAGGAAGACTGAGAATGAGTCTCCAGGAGAGCTCTTCTGGAGCCTGGAGCCTCACCTTAGGAATTCATATGGATACATATACACAAACACACACAATAACAACAACACGAAAGTCCCAGGAGAGAGTCACAGACACACACAAGCAAAGATACATGATAACATTCCTCTACAGATGTATACATAGGGTACAATGTGTAGGCACGCAAGACAAACCATGCCAGACACACATAGGTGCATGTTTAGAACACATAAACAAGCAGAGTCACATATGTATGCAGCCCCCTCAAATATACATATACAAAAATGAAGAAATGGATACATGTCATTGAACTCCCAGGACACATCCCTGAAGCCAAAGCCTACAGAATCACAAAGTAACACATATGCACACAAGACCTCCCAAATACATTCAGAACAGAACGTGTCAACACACATCTGAACACACTCATTCTCAGACTCCTATAAGACAGAGATACAGAATACATAGCAGTAAGCAAGCACAAACCAAGATGCACAACTACACAAACAGCTTCGTAAAGTCCCTGGAGATAAACACACACACGCACACACGCACAAACACACCCCACACGCACACAGGACACAACATGTAGACTGCTCTCGGACACTGTTCATACAAAGATACAAACAGAAAACACACACAAACACACGCTTCCACAATTAAAGTCCCAGGAGACAGATTTCATCCCCTTTAAACCCCAACAAAAACACTGCGTACACACAGATCCATTACACACGTACATACAGGACAGAACATGCAGAAACACTTGGGAGCCCACACCTCCGTCACTGAAGTCGCGGGAGAGATTTCGTTTGGGTCGGGACAGAGGGATGTTGTCTACCCACAAGTACAGTTGGTGCAGCGCCTCTTCGTCCATGCTGCTAGCCATTAGTGTCCTTGTCAAAGGTAGGCCGTTCTAGCCGTGCAGCTTCCAGCTTCAGCCTTACGACTCCTCAAACGCCTCCTTTCTCGCCACTGGGGGAGTCCAGACTTCTTCTGCCTCCCTAAGCAGGAGGCTCACGTCCCATCTGGGAGCAGCCATATTGTTTTCTGAAACCATGGCAACCACCTCGCCTAGACCTGAAGCAGGGGCTTCTGGGAGATGTAGTTTCCCCGCGCTACTTTCTTCCTGGGCCTCAGCTTTGAAAAAGCAGTTAGGTCCCCTTACCATCCTCTCCTCCACAAGAAGGCATCATCTCTGAGTCCATGTCACCTGCTGACCAGCCATCGACCCACTTTGGGATGGGCCAAAGCCAATCAGGTCCCCTAAACTCATGCACTAGCATCAACAGGCCCTTCTGTACACTTCAGTTGTCAGTTTTAAATAAGGGCAGCATCCCATGTTTGTCAGCTTTACCTGGAGGTCCACTACTAATAATCTCCTACCATACAGGCTGTGTGATATGCTGTGTGGCAGTGCTTCCTTGCTGAGTCCCTCCCCAAAGCTCATTACTCATACTGCCCAATGCCACAACCCACCTCAATGTCTTGCTGGGCCACTTAATACGTAACCCAGACTCTTAGACAGAGCACCAGAGTTCAAGGCCAGTATCTCCAGCAGATTATTTAACGCTTCAGCCTTATTTCCTCCTTTGTGAAATGGGAACAGTTCTCTCCTACTTGTCCCAGTGAGGTAGTGAGAAATAGATTAGAAAACAGAAAAGTTTTATTTATGTAAGACCTGTATTTATATGGGAACAGGGTGGGGGGAGAAGTTGGTTATAAACACAGAAGCAAGAACTCCTGCAGACACATATTCCTCTACTTCCAAGGAGCTGTTCTACTGTGGACTAGAAGTGGATTTCCTCCATTTCAAAACAGAACTACCTTTAGGAGCGTTGAGAACATGGATCCCTCCTTAGTGAAGAGGTACAGAGTAACAGTATGGGATACTTTTAGGGTCAACCTAGGGAGAAAGCTTGCTTTGCATACAAATAGCTGGCTTTGGGCACATCACTGACCCTCTGTGCCAGTTTGCCATGGCTTCTGTCTCATAGGGGCACTGTATCTTCTGAAGTAATTAGAGCCTGGTTCATAGCAAGGGCTCTATCAGCTTCAGCTGGTGTAATCATCAATCATCTCAGCTCCAGGAAAAGAGGTGCTCTTGCTGGCAAGGGACACATGGAAGTGTTTGCCTTGTTGGTACTTGAGGTGAGGGGCCTGGGTTGGCCAGAGAGACCTGGAAAGGCCATTACAGTTCTTCCTCCTTACTCCAGAGCAGGCCCAGAGGATAGGCTGGGCTTCCTTTTGGCTCTCTGGTCTCCACCTCAAGCACATATTGGGGGAGAGGGTGATATCAAGGGAAATCCCAACTTTTTGTTGGCCCTGTCTCCAAAGCCTTCGAGGCCTAGAGATCACCGAGTGCCAGAAGGGCAGAAATGGAAGTTACCCCACATTCTTGTTTTAGTCACTCACAGTGGCCTTGCCTTTCTGGAAGGGGTCATACCCAGGGCAGACAAGGGACAAAAGATCTGGATACCCCCCACCCACTAACATTCCAGGATGCGGAGAGGAGGAACTTGGTGGCTGTGGTGGTAGGGCAGCAGTTGGAAACTACAGAAGTGATGTGCCAGGCCTAGGCAAGGTGGGAAAACCGGTTTGGGGCCCAGAGCTGCCGCTGGGGTGCTGGGGCCTGAAGCCTCAGCCAAGGAGTTACCGAAGGAGGGGTTGGCCCTGAAAGACGGGAGGAGCAAAGGGCAGTCCTCAGCTTTGGACTGGGGAGCTACCAATTCATCCTTAGGCTCCTGGGGGGTATAATCTCTTCTCAGCAATTTCATCTTCTGCCTACCATTTATCCTCAAGGGTGGCCACCAGGCTTGGAGATGCTAATCACTGAAAAGCCTAAAGAGTTCCCGTTAAGGCACCAGAGGTAAACCTAAAGGTGCCCAACTTCCCCCTCTAAACTCTAATGTGGCCGGCCCAGAGGAGCTTTCTCAACACCCTTTGTCCTGGCCCAACTCTTGTAAGGACTTTCTTAGCCAGCCTGGGCGGGCCTATTCCTCAGGTGCCTATTGCCTGATTTAGCCCAACAGACTGCAGGATCCATCACCGCCCCAGTCAAGTGTCCCCCAAGCTCCATTCTAACCCGAGCATAGCTAGACTTCCTAAAATTGATCCATTCCTCCCCAATCCTCCTCAGAAACATTTAGATGTGGATACTGAGGACTCCCTCTGCCCCTCACCCCAGTCAGGGCCACCCTCTCAACCCTTGCCTTCATGTCCCACCAGTGCAAGGACTGAAAGGAACCGCCGGGAAAGGACATGTTCCCCCAAGTCAGACGCAAGCCCAGACCATGAAGGATGCACCCTTGGCTGTTAAAACGTTCACTCCCACAAAAGGGGAGTGGACAGATTTATTGAATTCAAACTGGGAAAGGAGCAGCTGGATGGCTGGACTCTGCGCCCAGCCCCAGGCCCCTCTGCCCAGGTTGGGGCCCTGCCAGAGAGGGATGAGAGGCACAGGGCCTGCAGCTGCCCAAGAGGGAGGCACCAGTGTCACTCCCATGGAGGGCCTCTTGGAAACCTCCAATCTGGAAAGAAAACCAAGGGCCGAAGTCACACAGATGGGCCACAGAAAGGGACTGGGGAGATGGAAAGCAGGCAGAGGTGGGCTCAGGAGCCCACTGTGAGTTAGACTGTGCTTCTCAAGGCGGCCTGGGGTGGGGTGGGGGCTGCCAGCCTTGTGGGGGCCTAGGCTGGACCTTGCTCTGAAGCCCTTTCCAGAATGGCTTTGGGGTCCCCCCACCAAAGACCTGGTGTGGACGGCAGGGGGAGAGGCACTCTCCGGCCGGGAGCTTCCAGGGCCACCCCTGGCCGCTGCTGTGGTCTAGTCCACTGAGGGCATGGTGTGGTAGCACCGGACAGCTCCCCACCCACCCCACCTGTTCCCCTGAGCCCAGGGGCAAATGGGGAGGAAAGAGAATTCTGAGAAAGAGGCAATAAGCAGGCAGTGAGGCAGACCTCAGCCCCTGGGCTTGTCTCAAGGCCAGGGGAAGCATTAGTAAAGGCCCTGGGGCTCCCCCGTCTGGCTCCATCCCAGAGTTCTCTGCCCTGGGCTGGTGCTGCCCATCTGGGTCATGGGTGCAGCTACACTCAGAGGCTCAGCTTTGATGTCCAAGACCCCGAACTCCTGCCTGCCTGGCATGGTTCTTCCTGGTCACGTGGACCAGATCATGTTCCAGGTGGAGGATGTGGCTCTGTACACGGTCATCAATGGGGAAGGAAGTCAGGTACCTCTTGACCATGGCAAAGTAAGCCATGGCCTCCCCAAAGCTGGGTACAGGCACCTCATCACCATCATCATCATCTTCTTCATCGTCTTCATCTTCCTCATCATCCTCATCTTCTTCCTCTTCCTCACTGTCTGACTCAGAGTCCTCCCCACCTTCCAGGAAATGGAGGGTAGGGCACTGGGCCTCTTCCTGGGTACTGTAACCCCCAAAGCTGCCACCAGCCTCTACTACTCCCTGGGCCCAGTCCTCAGCCTCCAAGCCCTCAGAGGAGCTCTCCTCCTCCTCTTCCTCCTCCTCCTCTTCATCACTGTCATCAACATCACCCTCCTCCTCCACCTCTTCTTCCTCCCCCAACTCCTCTCCTTCCCCTCCTTCTTCCTCCTCCCCTTCTTCTTCCTCCTCCTCCTCCCCTTCGCCCTCTTCTTCTTCTTCCTCCTCCTCCTCTTCTTCTTCCTCCTCCTCCTCCTCTTCTCCCTCACTCTTGAGAGAGGTGGTGATGGTAGCATTGGGGCCACCCCCGAAGCCAGCCTCCCGAAAGCAGGTGGCTATGTCCGAAGGCTCCACTGCCTGCCAAGCTGCAGCCACGAAGTGCAGAGCCTCCATGAGGCCCAGCTGTAGGCCTGAGCGATCCTGGCCCTCCAGTGCCGCCATGGCCTTGAGCAGCATGGCTTGGCGGTAGTGGCCCTTCACCTGTTGAACTACTCCCCGCTCCAACGGATGCACAGTGCCCGGAGGGAAGAAGGCCAGCTGCACATGCCGTAGGCCTGAAGTGTCCAGGGACTGGGCAGCCAAGCGGCCGGCCAGCAGCAAGACCCGGCGGGACTCTGCAGCCATTCGGGTGTCCAGAGCCTTCAAGTACTTGGCCAGGGCCTGGGTGGTGACACCTCCCTTCGAGTTGGCAGTGTAGTCGCAGGGTAGGCCGCCTTGGCCTGCGCGGGGCTTGGCGGACTTGCCGGCCACCAACGGGGGCAGCTTTTCACTGCCGTCGGCATTGGCACACAGCAAGACGCTCAGGCGCTGGGTGGCTTGGCGCGACCTTCCATCACCTCCGCAGAGCCCCGCGGCCTGGTCAGGCAGAAAATCGTACCACAGACTGGTCTCAGTGGCGCTGAACACGTCCTGCGAGGCGTAGCCCTCGGCCACCGACGGCGGCTGCTCTTCGCTTGAGTGCCAGGTAGGTGCACTCCCCCCGCTGCCCTCGGGGGGCACCGCGGCTGGGCTGGCAGGTGCCGCTGGGGCCCTGGGGGTAGAGTTTCGGCCCCGGGCACGCGTCACACCGCTACAGGACACCACACCGTGGCGCCGGCGGAAGCGGTCCAACCAGCCGTTGGAGGCAGTGAAGTCGTCCATGCCCAGCTCCTCGGCTATCCGCAGCGCCTTCTCCTTGAGGATGATGCCCTTGACGGGAAGGCCCGCGGCGCGGATCTGCTGGAACCAGGCAATGAGCAATCCCTCGAGCTTGTCGTAAGGGGACAGCTTGTTGGTCTTCCGGCAGGTGGAGGCCACACCGTACTTGCGCTCCGACGCCAGGATGGCGCGCTTGTTCTTCAGGATGGTGCTCAGCGTGGACGGCGGGATGTTGAAGCGCCGTGCGATCTCGCCCTTGCGCAGGTCCGGGTTCTCCTCCACCTCCTGGATGATCCTCGACTTCTCCCGGAACGTCAGCTGCCGC